TGATGAGGGAGGCAACTTGGTCAAGAAGTCCATGGACACAGCTCCCCAGGGCCTGTCCGGGGTTGGTAAGCACTGCAATAACCCTGGGGGAGCCCCCGTCGCTGCCTTGGCCTGTCTACATTGAACGCATGATGTCACATACTTTTGCACATCATCTCGTAATCAGGGCCACCAGAACGTATGAGAGATCAGATTCACGGTTTTGAACACACCAAAATTTCTTGCTGCTGGATTATCATGACACTGAGAGAGAATCAGGCCACGGACGGGTCCTGCGGGCACATAGAGCTGGTTCCGATATTTCAAGATGTCATCATCAAAGGTCCATGGGGAATCTGGCCCTATCTCCGCCTTCTGTTGTTTCACCCACTTGTCGTCCCGCTGCGCCTCCCGTGTCAATGACGTGACCTCCACGGGTTCCTGAACTGCAGCGAGAGATTAGGCGGGTAGAACCGTCCGGGGTGGAAGCGAGTCCACAGGATCAGAATATTCTGGTTTTCTAGACAGGGCATCCACCCTTCGATTCAATCCACTAGGGATGTACGTCACCTTAAAATTGAACAGGGCAAAGAACAAAGACCACCGGATCTGGCGTTGGTTTAGCTTACGTGCCATAGTCAGAAACTCCAAATTTCGATGATCCATCCAGACCTCCATCTGGTGCCTGGTCCCCTCCAGGTGATGCCTCCAGGCCTCGAACGCCATCTTGATAGCCAACAACTCCTTCTCCCATATGGTGTAATTGCACTTGGAAGGATTGAGTTTCTGCGAGTAGTAAGTGCAAGGGAAAAGGGTTCCATCAGGGGCATGAGCCTGCAGTAACACCGTACCCACTGCGACGTCGGACGCATCCACTTCCACGACAAATGGACAATGGGGATCAGGGTGCCTCAAGATCAGCTTCTTTGTAAATGCCTGCTTCAGGGCCATGAATGCTCGCTGCTCTGTGGGACCCCAGCAAAACGGCACTTTCTTTTGCAGGAGCCGAGTGAGGGGCGCAGTCAAGAGAGCAAAGCTGGGAATGAAGGTCCGGTAGTAGTTGCAAACCCGAGTAGTCTCTGCACATCCTTCATACGTCGAGGAGGTTGCCAATTATGCATCGCCTCCACCTTGCCTGGCTCCATCGCGATGCCTTCGGGGGAAATATGATGTCCCAGGAACTCAATGGTGGTCTGCCAAAACTGACACTTCTCCAGCTTTGCGAACAGACAGTGCTCTCAGAGTCGCTGCAAGTCCAAACACAGATGACGTTGATGATCCTTCGGGGATCTCGAGTAGATCAAGATGTCGTCCAGATAAATGACGACAAACTGATCCCGGAAGACATCGTTCATAAAATGTTGGAAGACCGCCGGCATATTGGTCAACCCAAACGGCATGACTGTATACTCGAAATGTCCATACCAGGTGCCAAAGGCCATCTTCCATTCGTCTCCCACCCTGACGTGCACCAGGTTGTAAGCACCCCGGAAATCCAACTTCGTGAAGACCGTTGCCTCCCGTAGACGTGCCAATAACTCCAAAATTAAAGACAACGGATACCGGTTCCGTACTCTGATGGCATTCAGGTGCCGGTAATTGCAACAGAGTCTCAGATCGCCAGTCTTCTTTTTCATAAACAAAACCAGGCCAGACAAAGGCGAAGACGAAGGCCGGATAAACCCTCGGGCAAGGTTTTTATCAAGGAAGTCCTGCAACGCAGCCAACTCTGGCTCAGACATGGAGTATAAACGACCCGTAGGGAGCTTCGCATTCAGTACCAGGTCGATGGGACAGTCGTAAGGCGATGTGGTAGCAGTTGATCCCCCTCCTGTTCATTGAATACATCCGCGAATTCCACTAAATCTGGGGGCACCTCCACCTAGGGCAGGCTGGTTAACTGGGCCGCAAAAACCTGCTGGATGTGGTCGATGCATTGCAAGGACGGGAACATGATCAAATTTTGCGACCAATAGATCTGAGGATCATGCGTCAGCAACCAAGCAAAACCCAAGACCAAGGGGAAATGCAGGCCCGAAGCTATGTAGAATTGGATGCCCTCCTCGTGCTCCCCAAGGGTCAAACACAAAGGTTGTGTGGCCGCCTTGATAGGCCCAGACAAAAGCAACCGACCGTCTATAGTTTTGACCCGCATTCGTGGGTCCACTGGACACAAAGGGACATCATGTGCAGCAAACGCCGCATCCATAAAGTTCGTGGTAGCCCCGGAATCAACTAAGGCATGGACTGGAATTCCCTGTGGACTACCTGACAAGAATGTGCGCTGCTAGAATCAGGTGCCGTGGCAGTCCGCTTATCTCAGCGTCAGTTTGTGCCCGACCTAAGGTTTCCCTTAGATCGGGCCCCGCCCATTTCCCGACATGGGATTCGGTTGTTGAGGGGTGGTCGCAGGCCGCGCAGCCCTTCTGCTCTTCTTGGGGCAACTCACAGAAACATGTCCAGGATCCCCACAATAAAACCCCCAGCACGCTGCCTGTCCATCTCCGTGCGTGACACTTGGGGTCTGACAGCACCCAACTCCATGGGCTCCTCTCATGCTACTGCAGGCTCTTGAGAAACTGGCACCTTTGCGGTCTCAGGATGCACGGCGTGGCCTCCTCCTCTGCAGCCGGGCGTCTATCCGAAGACACAAATGGACCAACGAGTCGAACGTTGGTGGCCTGTCCACCCTCACCAGCTCATCCTGTAATTCATTGGACAGGCCATCTTGGAAGGTGTCCATAAGCGCTGGTTCATTCCACGCTGAGTCCTGACTCAGCAGCTGGAATTCTCTCACATACTCTTGCAAGGATCCACGACCCTGCCGCAGTGACTTTAGTCACCTAGTTGCTGTTTCCCCCTTGATGGGATCCTCGAACATCAACCGAAAATGCTGACAGAAACCTTGGAAGTCATCCAACACGGGGCTAGACTGACTGAGGAAGGGTGTGGCCCAACGGGCAGCTGTGCCTGAGAGCAAGCTAATAATAAATCCCACCTTCGTCCGGTCGGT